TGCAAGCAAGCAAAAAAGCATTGATTAACTGTATGAAGAGTTAAAATCTATTTAGGTTTTATATTTGTATACAATATATTGTGTTTATTTTTATTATAATAATATATGTATATTTATATATAAATATACATATAGGATTATTTTGTTTTAATTATTCTTGTCAGCCGCTCTTATAAAAATTAATTTTATTTGTCAATAAATATTGCTCAATGAACAATGTTCATAATATTTTAAAGTTTAATATATTATTTGTGTTGCTATTTTGAGCTAAACTTTTTGCATCTTTATTTGTTTTATGGGTCATTTAACCATGGAGAGGTATATGCATTTAATTCAAATAATACTTTGTTGTTGGCCGTAAACGACTAAAGAAATTAGTTACTTTTAACTGTCAGAAATAGTCAAATATGGTGACTAATCTTAAATTAGTCAAACTTTAACTATTTACATAGTAAAAAATAACTATTTAAAAGTGAAAACGACTATTTTATTAGTAAAAAATGCTGGTACTAATTCAAATAGTAGAATTTTGACTATTTCATTTTTAGAGAGTGGGTAAAGTAAGAATTTCAGTCCCTGTTTAACGTGGACTCCACGTCTAACTCGCAGCAGAGCAGCAACAGCAGCCCAGCAGATAGGACCTGAAAATGGTACATGAGATTGTACCGAAACGTTGTCAGACATACGGTTCTTTTAAGAACCAAAAACTGACAACACGGAGCAGATCACGGAAAACCATTAATACATATATATATAGTTTTCTCTCATTTTAATTCTTAATATTTTATGAATACAACTGTAGATGCAGGGTGTGAGCCTATAGTAATTATTTGTTTAGTGTATTTGTATTTTCCTGCTTTTTTAAAGAGGTCCTTTAAAACCTAAGTAAAAACTATTTAAAAAATACTTTTAAGTCATTTTTACAAAAATGTTCAGCAGTTTCTGAGATATAACCCTACTTTACCATATATTCCATTCAACAACGTGTTTAGAGTCGCGACGGCAAATGTTTCAAATTGCGTCAAAAATGTCAAAATGTCAAAAACCGATTTTTCGACATACGGTTAACCTAGCGGTTCCTTGGATTATATACGTAAAAGAAAACAACAATAATTGTAATTGGTTCAATTTGATGACGCAATTTAAAACATTCGCCGCGACAACTATACACGCTGTTGAATGGTGATTAATTACCCTTATTATTAGTGTTGTCAGATGATTGCATATCTTAACACTCGGTACATCTCAGTGGGTAGTAAATTAGATTGAAAGCAGGAGGTGCAAATAAAATCGGGCTCCATTAAATTAATTAAAAATAGCCGCAACACTTCGACAGACGGGTTTACGGCTCACTTAGAAAACCATCGTTAATTTTTCATTTCGCTCATTGTGTTTTGTCTACAATGTATCGTATTAATTAGATCTTTTAATTATTCATCGAGAAAGTAAACATGGTTTTATTGGCGCCCGTAAATCATCCGGCCCTATAAATTACGGAATTAAGGTTATGTTTTTGTAAAGTCGATTTCAAAATGTTTATCAATAACAATACAGCTGATGCGCCACTTAGGATCACATTTTTGTCAAAAAATATTTTTTTAATAAAAAAACTTGTTGAGTCTTTGGGAACCAATTTATACTCTTCACAGTTTAAAATTCTATAAAAATCTGTATCCTATTAAATGCATTATTTCCATTATTTGCTTGCGGCCTTCACGTTTCGTAATGTCGTTAATAAAATCGAAAAGTGACCGGAGTCAAAGTTGACTAGAAAACTTACGGTTGAGCAACCAAGTTTTGAAATCCATCTGAAAACTCGGTTCATTTTTATAATGTGTTATAATGATAGGTTACGTCTTCAAAGAAACAGCGTTTAATTGTTTAATAAAGAGCCACAACGCATGTTATTATTTTTGATTGAGTGGGTTTCATTTCAACACTAATTTAACTTAAATAAATAATACCTAGTTTGTGGTCCATTAAGGTTTGTTTTCTTAGGTTTTTCTTGGTTTTAAGACATATTAAGTGAGTTTTATATATAATAAAACTTTTAAAATTACCTTTCTATAATCTTAATTGGGAACATCTTGGAATTGTTTAAAATCCTTTAGAAGATTTTTAATGCAGAATATGACAGGAACATACTAGTTTCCGAGTATCATAGACTATCACGTCAAAAACTGATATTTTTATTCTTATTTCTTCATATAATTTAGGGAAATCCCATTTGATAGCTCAATAAAAAATTTATGTTTAAAATGAGCAGGAAATGTTGAAGTTTGTTTAACTATAAAATCATTATTATTTGGTTTATGGGCATATAAATACTAGGTTTGGTAAGTTATTTAAAAATTATTGAATTTTTTCGATAATTTGAATAATTATTCAAAGTTAACGAGTGAGGAATTTTGTACCTAAATAAAAGTGTAATTTCTATTTCGATAATTTTTGTTTAATTTATACAGAGGCTGATTTTTAATACCATTTTAAAATACTTTCTTAATTTATGAATGAGAAATTTTATGAAAAGGAAATTTTTTAACATCTTATTATTTCTACACAGTGGGGGGAACTCAATGAATATAAATTGGCCCTGTTTAGAATCATTTGCCTTTTAATGAGAAATTATATGTACAAGAAAATTGAACCACTTTTTTATGGAATATTCATTTTCTACTCTAATTTTTAATTAATGTCTTCAGGAATAGTTTATTTTAATTTATATTTAGGTATTTATAGGTTTATACAGAGGAAAATAAAAATAAACTTGTACTAAAAATCGGGTATTGGGTACGTTAGAATTTGTTTTTTTTTATATGTAGACATGACGCAGTTAAGATTTTTTTACAAAGCCAAAGTATGATTTGAAAACATAAATTGATTAAGGTGTTATGTCGAAATTTTAATAATAAAGGAAGGCACATTGGGATGATAATTTAAAATTTATTTTTAAATAAAAAGTAAACAAGTAATTAATGTTCAAGCTTTTTATTTAAAAATAAATTTTAAATTTTAATTTCAAGTTTTCTGTCCTTTATTATTTAAAATGTGACATTAAGGTCTAAAGGACTTTATATAAGATATTTTCTACAATACCAAAAAGATATAGTCTTTAATCAGCCATATTACCTGCCTTTACTCCATATTTCATAGTTTTCATGCTTTGTATTAGCTTCACTTAATTGAAGCATTGTAGCAAACAAACTATGTCCATGAACTAACCTAGGAAGTCGATTTTAACCTACTTCCACCCAGCCGATTTAGCTGAATTTTTAAACACACTTTTGGTGCTGGTGACAATCCAGTCTAATATACTCTAAGAACTCTACAAAGTTTTTGGGCCCAGTGAGTAAACCCATGGGTTTATTTACAAATTATAATTTGCATACCCATAACTTTTTTTTATTTTACATTCTATACAGGGTTCCTAAAAGTAGCGCACTACCTTGGAGGTGGATGATCTACAGAAAAAAGGTAGTTTTTTTTAACAATTTTTTGGGATTCCTGGGGATCCGACTTTTGGACACCCTGTATATAAAAGTCGTTATATTACTCCAAATAGTCTTGAACTCGAAAATATATCAGCAAATCAGATAAATATCCTCTTATTGGCGACAATGCTGTGCAATGTTGCAAAACATCAAAAATGAAAATCTCAAAATGTACAGTTTTCGAGTTTCCAAAGGAAAATATAGAATTATATAGCAAAATTAAGAAGTGACAAGTTAATTAATTGCCCAAGTTAATGACATTATTTTATACTTTTTAGTGCATTAAAGCTTGTTCTTAGTTTTTTAAAACTATTATTTATTTTCTATAAGCTTAACCGAGCTTGTGTACTTAAAAAGATAAGGTGACTAGAACAGTAAATCTTAATTATAACAAGTGTTATTAAATGAAGCGAGATAATTCTTCTAAAACTAGTTTAACATTTGGGACAATTTATAATCTTTTTCTACTCCTATTGCAAAATATTGTTTTTTTTCCATGAACAATGATTAACATTATGAATTCCCTGCCTAACAACGTGAATAATGAACTTATTATTTACGTTTTTAGGCATCAGTGATTGGTCGAGTTTAATATTCACTGTGATTTAAACCAATCGGGTTTTAAATTGGGAGAAGGCGACTATAATTACATTTAAAATTGTTAAAAAGTAAGGTTAACCTTTTGAGAGATGTCAGATTTTATTTATTTATTTTTAAAAATTATTTAATTATCTACTTATTGGAGTAGATAAAGTATATTACACTGCGCATTATTTACTCGGACGATTTAAGACGCAAACCTTATCCTTGTGAATAATGGCCTGCATTATCTCTCGTATAATAATACACTATAATTTGTTTACTTTTTTTAATATTAATATTAGTAAGGTATTGAATGACAAATTGTCAAATTTTTAAACCTATAAAAACTACAATTGTTTAGTAAAATTACCATGGAAATGTTTAACAGTGTACTAGTGGTGTATTTAAACACTTAGTAGAATAAAAGAGATCGAATACCTACTTAAGTTCGAGTGGCATCTTCATGTCAACATTTTGACTTGAAAATTAGTTAGAATTAATATTCTTTTGTTGTTGGTATTACTTAAAGTGTAGATTAAACTACCAACTGTACTGTGTCATGCCAAGATGAAAGCAAGATGCATTAATATTTCATTTAAACAAAGTGCAAGAAGTGATGCTACACATTTGTACATTGTTGGGTGTTTCAAAGAAATAGGGACTTGAATTATAACGATGCCAGTTGTGAGTAAGAATTAATGGAGAGCAACTACATGTATTTTAGCATTAAGATGATAGGTTTTATTTATGAAATAACAACTGAACCCAGTGATTTTTATACGGGCATTTTTTTTATTTAGAGAGGGACAGAAATACAAATTTAAACCTTATTAAAATTTAAGTTTAAAAGCACTTCAGTCATAAAGATTACCTACATTAAAAATTTATTTTACTAAAATGTTGGTGATAAAATAAATATAAACTTACCAGACAAATGATGAGAAAAATTGTAAAACGACACATTTTTTTGTTTGTATCCATTTCACATATCTCCACTATTTTAATAACATTAAAAATATATTTAACGAAAGATTGTGGTTGATTTATGTAACAAGTTGCTTATAATAATCTAAAATCGCAAAATGCAGTATTTTCAATTAAAACCTATATAAAATTGGATCAATTTAATTTATCTTTAATTACTCGATAATACAATTCCAATTAGCAAACAAAAACACATCGCGGCTTCAAAAGCCGCCGATTTAACATAAAAATAGTTTGTTGTTAATTAAAATGGCGCTATAAATAATTGAAGATCAAAGAAATTGTGTCTAATGGTTATCAATAATCTTATTTCGGTATTTCAAAGATGTAATTTTTATGTAAACTAGCGAATTCGCGAATAAACAATATTTTGCCATAAAATAGTGTTAATAGATTTTTACAAGGAACCTAATTTTTAAACAAACAATAAAAACATATAAAATAAACAAATAATTGCAAAAAATGGTGTTAATGGTTTTACCAAACATTTCTCCGTGTTATCTAATAGGTGTTTATAATAATATTAATAAAAAATATAAATAATAACGAATAGTATCACATTTGGTTTTGTTTAGTTTGTTCATTATTTTTTTGACTAACTAACCATTTTGAATTGTTAATATAAAATATTAATATAATTTTTTTAAATGTTCAAAAGCTGTCTAAAACAAATTTGAAATTATCATTAATAAATTTGTCAAAGACCAATTTGCTGTAGGTATACCCTTTAAAGAGTAGTTTGTGTTGGCCAGTTTACTTGTAATATTGCAAAGGTTAGCAAATTTTTTGTACAAAATACTGACATTTTATAGTGTTGGCATATGGCAAATATTAACTTTTAACATAATTTGGGACAAAAGAACATTTCGTATAATATATAAAACTTGCCTGAAAAATTTAGCAAAGTAAATTTTAATATGTTAAACTTCTAAAAGTTGTTTAACTTTCAAAAAACTTTAAGTTACTAGATTTTAACATTTTTCAAAAAGATATAAATAATAAAGTTTGAAATGCCAATTATTTATACTTATTTAATAAATAATTCATAGATAAAATCAAATGTTAATTCGATATTTATTTACAACTGTCTTTTAAATTAATCAAATAGAAGTTCTGATCTATAAATATTGAATAACTTAATTTTATATTATAATGTCGAACATTTTTTTAATTTTATCTATAACATTCTATTTATTACAATATATTAATTACTTAGGCCAAAATTAAATATTTAAATTGTATATTATATATATAATATATACATATAATAAAATAAATAAAGTCATAGTAATAAAACCAATAACATAAATATTTTATCGAATTTGCATGACAACATGATTTTATAATATAATTATGCAAATATAACTTAATTTTTAAATTAAAATTTTTGGCAATGTGTTTTAAATTTAAATTCCACCAAAAAATTCTTATTTGAAGTGAGACCACCACGGATCTTCTTCAAATTTTGTAGAATTATTCTCTACATTAAAGTAATCACTCATTGAAGATTTGAGCTCTTATTATAAAGTATGGCTTGGAATTTTTCAGTTTTAGAAATTCGAATACTCGTTTAAATATTAACTAGAATAGTTGAATTATTCGAATACTCGAGTTATTGTTATTGTTGTTATTATTATTATTATTATTATTATTATTATTATTATTATTATTATTATTATTATTATTATTATCATTATTATTATTATTATTTTAATTTTCACATATTAAAATGTGAATATTCGAATACTCGAATATTTGATTATTCGAATTATCGAATACTCAAATTATTCGTAATCGTTTTCCAACCTTAATTTAAAGTACTTTCTTAGCAATAATTTTTCCAGTTTTTACGATATTTTTAAAGCTATAGTTACAGCATAGGTATATGCTTAACTCCAGCTCAATTTAAAAAAAATAATTTTGAAAATTTTTGTATTTTTTTTTGGCAATTTTGATTTTTGAAATTTTATATTTATACTACTGTTTGAATTTTTTACAAATTTTTTAAAATTTCAAAAATTTTAAATATCAAAATAACCAAAATGTTCAATAAAAATATTCAAAGTTTTAAAATTTCCCAAAGTAGGTAAAAATTCATAAACTACAAAAAAATATATTGGAATGACCTTTCGGTTTAATGCTATGAAAACAGTATATTAAAAAAAAATTTGCATGTGTAATTTTTCACTAGTAATTGTCATTCACAAAACATTTGAAAGCTATAAATTCACAGATACATACGTATGAAACTATTAAATCTTCTCGTGTCAACTGCCAAGAATATGGCAAAATATTTGTGGCGTTTTTGATGTTTTCATTACAGCCAATTAAAATTACTAGTGTGTATTAGTTGCGCCAAAACTATAAATTATTGATAACTTGTTTTACAAGCGCGTGTTTTATTGTATGTCAGTTGTTTTACATTCGTTTTGATTTTAAATATTACGAGGTTTTTAAAATAAACTTTTCGGAATAAAAATAACCGGACAGTTATTTGTAGTTTAAATATCCTGAATTGACTTACCTAGCTATAAATAAATTTTAACTGATATTAAAAAAAACCAAAATCCATAAAATTCAGTTTTTAATTAATAAAAAATGCATATTTTAGAATACCTATATTAAAGATCTTAAAAAATCTCAAAAATAGCAATATTTAAAAATTTGCTTTTTTTACATCTGCTGCTAAACGACTGCGACTAAAACCTCGGACACCCTGTATTTTGTTTTGGTTAATTTGATAAATTTGACAGTTTTGAATATTAGCAAAATTGATAACACAAAAAAAACGTTGAAGTTGAAAACCAATGATTACTAACCTAACGTAACACCCTTGGTAATATCAAAACAGGAAAGCAAAGACTTTATCGGCACATCGTAAAATAGTTATTAAATTTATTGCGATATGTAATTAATACCATAACAAACAATTAATAATTTCATCAGATATACCGAGAAATGTCGCCCCTAACAATAAGTATAAAATAACTTTATTAAAATATATTATCATTATTAATAATAATAATTATTATTATTTGTTCTTACATAAATCACCCACAATCAACGTAGGCCAAGTGAATACAGGTGAATCACATGGAATTATACATTGACAGCTGTCAAAATATACAATAAGTGAGGTTAAAACTCGCGCGCAAAGTTCGTGACAAACGTGACCGGCCACTGGACGTGTTCTTGTAAGAGCTCTGCGTTTTCTGCTGCTGTATCGCGGTGCGCGGAACAACTGACTAACGTGTGCACGTTGCACGTATAGGGAGGACAGCAGGAGCAACTGAGGCAGCAGGAAAAGCCGGCAGCAAGCGAAGAGCGCGCTAAAATATCGGTCGCGAAGGCTGGTTTTGTTTTGGTTTTGCGATGCTCTGCTTCCTGGTTTTGCTGTGGTTGGGTAAGGTCGCTAGGTCAGGTGGTATATAGAATCCTGCAGAGGGATTGTTGCAGGAATGTTAATTTTTTAAAAATAATAATAATAAAAGTTTTAATAAATTAAAAAATGGAGTAAGTTAAAAATATCTACTTATAACTAGTGTAAAAAGCCCATAACGCAATAATACAAAATCGGCCTAAATGAGTAATAAATTATGCTCCCACTGGAAGGCCTTATAATAGCTATTTACATACCATAGGAGAAAAATAGTGCTTTTCCTCCCGCGAATAGTTTGATGCTTGACGCGAAGCGAAGGGCATTAAATATTCATGGGAGTAAAAGCATTTTCCTCCTGAGGTATGTATATAGTTTTTTCTATTACCTTTTACCGGTTTTAAGACATTTTAAGCGTTCCGGTTCCTTTTACTAACCCGGTATGGGGCTATAAAATTATGACAAAATATTAAGTATGTGTTGTGTCGCCGACGTTATGTTGACAACGCTTTGTTGCTATGGTATTTTTTTAATACAAACAACAGTTGTTATAAGCTGTCAGAATGTTTATCATAAATTTGAAATTCTTCCTACGTTTTGAAAATGAGTTCTAGCGAAGAAGACCTGCCGCAAGATCTTGCTGAAGAGGCAAGAATAGCAATTAATTTCCTTTCTTAAAAATCGAAAGAGCGATATGAAAATAAATATAGATTGTTCAAAGAAAGATTGGACAAGCGCGGAGTAAATCTTTTTCCTACAAGATCAAATAGGGCTAGACAAGGTACAAAAACTCTTGCTAATGTAAAATTGTTAAAAAAAAAGGGAAAAAATTTTCCTCCCTCGCTCGGGGGTGGAAAATTAAGTTTTCCAGTAAGGTAGTAGAAAAAATTATTATTGGCATGGATATTACCAAATTGCTAGCTTATTCATTTATCCGTCATAAATCATTAATTAAAAAGAATTTTGTAGGAATATTAGCATTTTTTTACAAATAGTCCGGATTCTTTTGCTTAAAATTCTGGCTATGCCTAAGATACAGGGTGCACCAAGTATTCTTCTATGTAGGTATACTTCATTGGGTATTTTTTTATTTGAAGAACTATACGGTCGGTTTCGTTATAAAAAAGTTGCGTAAATACAAGCCTATTAAAATCAAATTTATAAATTGAAAAATAAAAAAAACCAAAAACCTTTTAAAACTCAAAATCGTTATAACTTTGTTATTACCGAAAATTTAGACAAAAATTGAGTTTTACATGTAAACGTACACATCATTCTACATTTTCGTCCAATTTCTTCGCTACCATCTTTTGTTTTTATAATGGCCGCCATAACGTATGTAGTTTGATACTTAGTTGGATTCCTTGATTTTTGTTCTATCTAATCATGTAAAATTGCAGTATGGCGTCCATGGGAAAACAGAAAATGGTGGAAAAAAATCACAAATTGTATAAAAATGTGGATAAATGGAGATGTTTACATGTGAAACTAAATTTATTTTATAATTCCTAACAATAACGAAGTTATAACAATTTTTTGTTTCAACAGATCTTCAAATAAAAACTATACCCATACATAGAAGGATGGTCCACCCTCCTACTATATAATACTCTCTACACTCCCTACTAGTATAATATATTATCGTAATATTGTTGAGTGTAGAAAGTATAGGTACTTATACCTATACTCTCTACTTTAGTACCTATTAGGAACTAATTACTAATATCAAGATTGACAGGTGTCAAGTTAACAGATGACAGCCTTAAATTCGCATTAATTTGGAAAAAATATTTATGATTAGCGGGTACCTATACCCTTTTGCTAGCACCTGTCATATGCTAACAAAAGCGTATACCCACTAACCATAAATATATTTCCTGAAATAATGCGAACACGTTAAAGGCTCTCCTAAAAAATTGCTTTTTTTGACTTATCCCCTTATGCCTTTTACCCACAGAAATAACAGATGACTGATGACACACTCCTTACTATAGTAATATATTATGTTGGTAACTATTCGTCACCCTAATATAACAAGGTTGTATGTTAAAAAAAACGAAAAATTTAAGTCTATGTTTCTACATGATTATACGGGCCTACGCTTCACATACCACTTAAAAATAATTCTATAATATATTGAATGTATATTCTATGTATACATATATATAGAGTTATTTTCAAGTTGTATGTCAAGAGTGGATTACATAAAACCTTGTAGAAGCATAAACTCAAATTTTTCGGTTTTTTAACATCCAACCTTGTTATATTGGGTTAACGTATTGTATGCGCGCCACGTTTTTATTATTAAATCTTACAATCTTGCATCGTATTTTAATAAAGACGTTTATTATTATTATTATTAATGCAATAAAACATATTTTAAAACTATTAATTTATTGTAATTTAATTTTTTTACATTTTTAAGTCCAATTTTTTTACATTTTGTTATTACATGTGTTTTTTTCCTAATCATTTGCTAATATGCATGTATAAGTAAAACAAAGATTTGGATTTTCTATTAAAGTGATTTAATATTTAACTAAAAATTTATTTATTCAAGAATTATATAATACTGCATCTAAAACAAAAGCCTACTATTGCATTTTAAAATTAAATTTTTAGACTCGCCATAAAAAATTTAAACCTAACCCAAATGCCTTGCTTGGCTTTTAAATCATTAAAACTAATCGAAAAAATGTGGCATGTAGGTGTAAATAGGAATCGTTAAAACTTAAAAGCGCTAACAAAGTGTAGATAATTGATTATCATTGTTGATCCGTTTATTAAAATTTTATTGGTGTAGGTCAGCACTTGTAATTAATGTCGATTAAGTGCCATTTAGTAATTAAAGCCGTTTTAATTACAATTATTATAAGAAAAGCAGATATAAATAGGAAAATAATAAAATATTTTTACTAATAAGTCTATTTTTGTCGGTGAAAAGTGTTTTCCTGCAGCATGTTTTAGTATTTGTATTTACAAATATTTATATTTTTTTGTAAAATTAAAAATAGGGGCCTAAAAAAGCCCTAACCTAAGCGCCATTCGTGCCAAACCCGACCCTGCAACTAAACTATTTCCTACTTCCATCTTTCCCCACACTTCCTCACAAAAATGTCTTAACTGCTAAATTATTCATTCGTAAATTACAGAAGTGTATGCCATCCATCTCCCACGCAGCGTCTTTTAAACTCTTTATAAATAAACTGTTATTGTTAAAGCGCATTAACAGCCCGAAAAGCAAAAGAAAATACGATAAGTAACGACACCGAAAATCAGAAAAAGACTGGATTAAATGAAACGCTCGTCTCAGCTCTCTCTTCAAGAATAAATTTTCGATTTTATAAAATAATAGACGAAATATGGTATCAGTGATACGTTAAATATAAACATCATAATCATTATTTTTAATCAAATGTTTTAGCAAGTGTCAGAAAAAACTAGTACACATGGGCTTGTTTTTAACGAAATATAAAAGGAAAGACTCTCTTTTTTGCCTGACAGCATAATTTCTGTGGTTCAAAAATTGGTGCATTATTGGGCCTTTGATAAAGCAATTAGTGAAACGTTTGAAATACGAAAATAGTCCAAATTGATTGATCGGTATTTACTGAAAGCAATCGGTCGAGTAGTTTCATTGAATAACTCATAGGTAAACGCCAGAGGGATATAATTGCATTTTTGTCGCGTTTCCGCTGTTAATCGAGAATAGGAAATATCAATTCGCTTGTGGTGGAACGAAAAGAGAAATGAATTTCTTTGTTTTGCTGCAAACAAGGTTCAAAATAAAAGTTAAACGAGACTCTAAGTACTTTGCGAGATTGCCGGACGTTTATGTCCACCATGAAAAGAATACGTATGCTATGTTCAAATTATCTACTTGATAGGACTATAAAATATGTCGCCATATTCTACATTGTAGCAGGCACCAAAATAAAAATTGATTATGCTGAAACTGCACGACCGGAAGTAAACCATGACCTTTTAGCCGCTGAAAAATACTTTAAACTTCACCGTTCTCATCAAGAGTTATTCATTCGAACTCTATAAAGGATGTTGTTAACTTCATAAAACTTTTTAGGGTAACCGTCGTGTTTTGAAAGTTGGAAAATGAAATTATTCGCGGTGTGACGTTTGCTTAAGATTTATGAGGTGTATGTTATGTATGGAAAATGCACTCTCAAGTCTCCAAGGATTTAAGTTGACAAGGTTGACTTTGCTATATGCATCATCGACCAGTTTAATCTTATCTGACATGAGGTGGATTTCAATCAAAGTTATGAGTAAATTTTATTAGTGTGACAGAAATTAAAAAAATATATTAATAGCGTTTGTTTACATTGTACCAAAAGTATAAAAAATCATCTCAATTACTTTACACCGCACCTAGAAGAGTTTACAACCTGCTGCGAGCCGCTCACGCTCACTTTCTTGGGTGGCTAATAAAAACTGAGCCACAATAAAGTCTAACACCGATAACAATTAACCGACACCCATAATATGTTATAGTAAAACATTTTTGTATTGTATAAAACTCTTTATTACCGCTAACTTAGTGTCGTCATAACAGTGTGGGCATTTACTAGGGACGGTCCACAATTTTTTATTATATTAACTGACAATTCTTTTTATGACAAATTTATACCCTTTTCCTACTCCTCAACTAGGTATACAGAGTGTATTTAAACTGGCAGAAAAGCTCTTGAGAACGTTTTAGGTGACCTCCAAAAAAATACTAAATAAACCAGATCGATAATTAAAGGAGTTAAGAAAAGGCTTTATAGGAAATTTCGGAATTCTGCAACGTTGGTTGGGAAAAGACATGAATCATTAGTAAAAATAACTTG